TGGAGCACAGGCTGGGCTTCTAAGTCCAATAATGGGCACAGCAGAATGACAGAGTGACGAACCTACTGACCCCAAAGATGTATTCGTTCATTCATTCATTCATTTTTGGTTTTTTGAGATAGGGTTTCTCTGTGTATCTTTGATGCCTGTCCTGGAATTGGCTCTGTAGACTATACTGGCCTCGAACTCACAAAGATCCGCCTGCTTCTGCCTCCTAAGTGCTGAGATTAAAGGCCTGCACCACCACTGCCCAGCAGATAGATGTATTTAATTTTAAGTCTATGGGTATTTTGCCTGCATGTATGTCTGTGCACCATGTGCACGCAGTACCCACAGTGGCCAGAAGAAGGGAACTGGAGTTACAGGGGGTTGTTAGATGCTATGTGGATGCTGGGAACCAAACCTGGGTCCTTGGCAAAAGCAACAAGTGCTTTTAACCACCAAACCATCGATCCAGCTCCAGAAAATAGATTCAGGCAAAAAGATAAAAAAAAAAAAAAAAAAAAAAAAAAAAAAACAAACAACAAAACACCCCAAACTCCAATGCCTAGAGTGCCTAATTTGACACAGACATTTTCTACTACCTCAGGCTTTTCAGTCAATATTTACCAACAGTCTGACAAAAAACAAACAAACATCAGCGACAACAAAAAGCCACCCTGTATATCCTGCCCCACATATCTCAGATCTGGCCAAGCAGGAGGTACAAGCTAACACTCCTGATCCAGGAACTGGCCCTGCTCTTCTTCCTAGCATGGTGCCTTCCTCCTCATAAGTTCACTCCTACCCCAGCTTTTAGCTTTTAGTTGGTATCAAAGCCATGTCCTTGTTAGGTTTCTTTTTAACCCCAGGCAAGATGTGGCTTTCTCTGTCAACCGCTTTTCAGCTCATCCAACACTTCTTAGCTCACAAACCTTCAGTTTATAACCACACACTTGAGAACATCAGAAGACAAGCTCTGTCTTGCTCATGCTCCCTGCCCTCAGTTTAACCTTTGCTAATCCCTCCCGGTGGTGGCTGGGCCTTTACCTGTCCTCCAGAGTCCTCAATACCAGGTCGCAGTCAGTCCACGTTGCCATTCATCTGGGCAAGAGGGCTTCATACCCAGGACTTCCCAGCTTAGACCTGATCTAGAGATTCATATTTAGTGCATGTGGACATGTGTAGGCATGTTCATATCAAGTACACGTGTGTATAAAGTCAGAGGATAACTTGAGGGAGGTTTACCCACTAAGACATCTCAAAGTCCCCTTTAAACTTACAGGAATTGGCACAGGAATTTTTTTTTAAAGATTTATTTATTTATTATGTATACAACATTCTGCCTCTGCCCGCATGCCAGAGGAGGGCACCAGATGTCAGTACAGATGGTTGTGAGCCACCATGTGGTTGCTGGGAATTGAACTCAGGACCTCTGGAAGAGCAGCCAGTGCTCTTAACCTCTGAGCCATCTCTCCAGACCGGAATTTTTGTTTTTGAGACAGGGTCTCTCTAGGTAGACCTGGTTGCCCTTGAACTCACTCTGTAGACCAGGCTGGTCTTAAACTCAGAGGTCTGCCTGCCTCTGCTTCCAGAGTGTTGGGATTAAAGGCATGTGCTACAATCATCTGGCTATTGCTATATTTTAAATGTATGTTGAGGTCTGCCTGCCTCTGCCATCTAAGTGCTGGTATTAGAGCTGTGTGCTGCCACTGCCTGGCTTGCAAAGGGATTTTGCAGCTGGAAGTCCACAGAAATACTGCCTTTGGTAGGCAATGTACATCATGGCTACCAAGGCTCCCTGCTTTCTGCCAGGTCACCCTATGTAAAAAGCTCCCCCCCTCTCGGGCATAGGCTGCATGACTCAGTGGTGGAAATGATCTGTTGTCATTCTTGGTGACTTCATCCTGCTGGTGCAGTCTTTCTGGTTCTTACGATGATCAGTGGCTACCTGAGTGGCCACTAACCATTGCTCAGTGCCCTGATAACACCCATGAGGTGATTCCTGCCGACCACTGAGTCAGAAGCAAGTCAACCACATTTGAGAGAACCATGGCCTTACTGAATACTCTTTCCTTTTGTGGGAAGGGGGGATCAAACCCATGCCAGGTAAGTGCACCACCAGCGAGTTACACTCAGCCCAATGGCTCAGACCTAAAATGAAGCCTTGTGAGAAACCTTGAAGTGAGAACTCAGCTCAGCTCTACCCAGATTCTTACCATACAACCAAACACAATATGCTGGGGATTTGTCACAGGGACTTGCTATGCAGTTCTGGGTAGCCTGGAACTCTGTAGCCCAGGCTGGCTTCAGACTTGCAGCAACTCTACCTCAGCATCACAAATGTTAGGATTGCAGGCGTGCACCACTGTGCCCAACTAGCAGGCTGCCTTAAACCTCTAGTTCAGGCTGATTTGTTGCAGAGCAGCAGTGCTTGAATTTATATACATCCCTGAACTCTCTCCTACCCACCGATGTTAGTCTAAGTTCACTTAAGTAGAAAAAACTTTCCCTACCACTATGAGTTTTAGTAGCCTTTTTTTCCCCCTAAGATTTATTATGTACAGTGTTCAGCTTCCATGTACACCTGCAGGCCAGAAGAGGGCACCAGATCTCATTACAGATGGTTGTGAGCCACCATGTGGTTGCTGGGAATTGAACTCAGGATATCCTGAAGAGCAGTCAGTGCTCTTAACCTCTGAGCCATCTCTCCAGCCCCTTTAGTAGCCTTCTTATGTATGGATTTCATGGGATTTTCTTGAGTTCTTTTTACTGTGGATATGTGTATATCTGTGTATGGGTATGTTCAAGGGAATGCAGATGCCAATCAAATCTTAACGGAGCTCAAGTTAGAGACAGTTGTAAGACATCTACTTTGGAGGCTGGGAATACAACTAGGGTTTAGTGCAAGAGAATTATGTACTCTTAACAACTGAGCCATCTCTCCAGCCTCTGTGAATATCTGATCTCTAACGCATTCAATAAATAGTACACAGGGCGTCTCTACTAAGTAGCAAGATCCCATAGGTGTGTATGATGGTGCACGCCTGTAATCCCAGGAATTCAAGGTCACCTTCAGCTACACAGTTATGTTCTGGGCCAAAACTGGGCTACATGAAACCGAAACCCTGGTTCCAAAAACCAAAACAAACTAAACTGAGCAGAGGGTGGCCTGGGGAGTAATCTCCATAACACGGAGTAGAAGCAGAGCTGAGGATGAAAAAGCACATGCAAACCCACTACTCTGTGAGCTAATTTCTATTTCATTTTTAAAATTTCAAGGTTTTTAGAGCTTGGAGAGATGACTCCCAAGCAACAGCACAGGCTGCTCTTGAAGAGGACCCAGGTTTGATTCCCAGCATCCACATAGTAGCTCAGAACCTTAAGTAAATCCAGTTCCAGGGGATCTGATGCCCTCTGCGGCCCCCACCCCCTTGATACACAGACACAAATGCAAACACTTTTATACATTAAAAATTTAAAACTACAAATATAACAAGCAAAGGAAAAACAGACTAGGCATGGTCTAATCTGTACTTACCATTTGCTTTCAAGAACTTCTGTTTCACACACACACGGGGTCCAGGGATTGAACTTTTTTTTTTTTTTTTCAAGTCGGGTTCTCTATGTAGCCCTAGCTGCCTGGAACTAGCTCTTATAAACCAGGCTGGCCTCAAAGTCACTGAGATCCACCTGCCTCTTCCTCCCAAGTGCTGGGATTAAAGGTGTGCGCCACCACCGCCCAGCGTGAACTCATGATGGTTTTATCAGACCTGGAGGCAAGAGACCCTTACATGTTAAGCCCTCTTTTCCAACTCAAGGGAATGGGTACTTACCACACAGGGTGGTAGTGCTAGGGATCAAAATCACAGTCTTGGGAGCAGTAAATACCCTAGCAAGGAGCTATACAGCTCCAGCTCTTTTATTTTTTTTGAGGACCTTAACATGTAGCTCAGACTAGCTTTGAATCTGAGAGCCTCCTGCCTCAGCCTCCCAAGCTGGAAAAAGGATGTACCACCGCACCTGCCTGGCTTCACCTGCTAGGTCTGAGAGTCTGGGAGGTCAAAGGGCAGCTTTAGGTGACAGGTGTCAGTCCTGACCTTCCACCTCATTTGAAAGTGGGTTTCTTGACAGAACTCTGCCTCCTTCCCCCAGTGAATGCCCGGTTAGCTGGCCCACAAGTGTCAGGGTAGTCTTCAGGGCCCGTCTCCCGGAAGCACTGGGTTGCAGTCACCCCCCCCCCCCCCCAGGGTCTACAGTGAATTCTGGGCGTCTGAACCCAGCCCCTCAAGCTTGCAGAGCAGAGATGTTATCCACTCAGCCATGTCTCCCTCCAGCCTCTGGCATACTCATTTGCCGTGTTTCATGTATGTGAACTCTGAACTTTCATGACTTAGGGCTGCAGCACAGAAGGGGTCAGTACATGTGAGTATTCGGGTAGGTGGCATGCTTGTTGAGGACTCCATGTACCCTGAGCACATGGAATCCTTAACCTTTGAACAAATTTCATGATTAAAAACCAAGCCCTCAAGAGGCATAATGACACACCTTTAATTCAGCACCTGGGAGGCTGAGGCAAGGAGATCTCTGTGAATTTGAGGCCAGGCTGGTCTACAGAGATCCAAAGACAGCCAGGGCTACACAGAGGAATGCTGTCTCAACACAACAAAACAAAAAGAAACAAAAGTGAGCCTAGCAATCATTTCCTTCCCTTATGATTTAAAACAGGAGCTCTCAGTGCCTCAAATCCACGCTGCACTACTGTGTCCTGAGGGACAGGAATGGTGCGTGTAGTGTCTCACCCCCACCCCCACCCCGTCCCCCCCTCCCTCCCCGCTTCCCCGTAGTTCAAAGCTGTCTTGGCACTTCAGAGCTGTTAATGTAGAATGCAGAAGCAGTGGTCTGGAACTGGCCTCCACGAAAGGAGACAACTAAGTTCCAAGGGAAAAGCCGGGGCATGGGTAGGGGTCAGAGGACAGGCTCAGAACACCAGAAACCAGCACCTTCCGTACACTAGAGGGTCTGGGACAAAAAAGGTTTATTTCAGAAGCAAGAGGGTCAAGCAGCTTGCTTATCTAGGGCGAAGCTGAGAAACCGAGAGTGGTGAACACACGGAATCCCAGCACTCAGCTGGAGGCAGGAGGACCCTAAATTCAAGGCCGTTCAAGGCTAGCCTGAAATGCACAAGACTTGTCTCAACAATAACTACCCCTAAACAAACAAAAAGCAAAAGGACTTTGCCCCTACTGTCCGGCCCAGCGACTGCTAGTTTAAGCAGTAAGAGCAATTTGTCTGTAGTCAGACAGGATGACACCTGTCTTTATTCTTAGCATTCTGGGGACGGAGGCAGGTGGATCTCTGTGAGTCTAGGCCAGCTTGCGCAACACAGGAGTTCCAGGACAGCCAGGGTTACATACAGAGATGCTGTCCAAAACAGCAAAAAAAAAAAAAGGAAATTCATTCTAAATCCCCAGCTAGAGAACAGCACAGACCCAGTTACCTAGACCCACTAGGCCCTTCAAAGACAGCACTTCACACTCCAGTGAGGGTTCGACCGCCCACCTTCAACTGCACCCCCACCTCTAGGAAGCAAGCAGCGCTTCTAGGCCGACCTCCTGCCGTACTTCTTGGGAAATAAAAGGGCCAAAGACCAACAAAGCTAATAGTTTTATGTGTTTTCAATGTGAAAATTCAAGTTCACTACCAACACCTCCCCTTGTGATTCTGAGGTGAAAGGAACAGACTGCAGTGCAGGTCCATGAGCATAGGGACAGTGGTGGTCAGTCTGCAGCCTCACTGTTAGGGCATGGTGGTGCTCAGTACCTACACTGCGGGTCCTTGGGCGTAGGGACAGTGGCGGTCAGTCCTCAGCTCCACTGTTAGGACATGGTGGTGCTCAGTAGGCGCCCATTACTTCTGAGCATGGGCTGAGGTAGGAGCAACCTGCCCAGGGTCTGCCTCCCGGCTGCTAGCCAGGAGTCTGCAAACAGTATCTGGTTCCTTTCACTTTCCAGCACTCGGCTTTAGAGGGGCTGGGGATTAGTCTTCTCCCTGTTAACAAACATCAAAGACAGAAGAGGCCCAGTTCCCGGCATTTTTGTACACAGATTTCTCATAGATTTATTTCTGTGTCATGTTATATATAGACCTATCCATATATACCTTTTTTTAAATATACAATCTATATTCTCTTCCCCACCAAAATCACAAGAAGAGATATAAATCTTTCCAGGATTTCCATTGGGTTTCCTAAGATGATTAGTTAACAAAGAACCATTTCTTAACTTCTCAAAAATAGCTGTTCTCAGGCTCTGGGGTCGCTGAAGCAGTACTCCCAGACCCAAGGAGACAAGGGAGGACAAGAAACAACTGTAGTGTGATGGGTTCTGGGACCAAAGCGTCGGCCACTCCCAGAACTCTAAGGCTGGGGTGAAGGTGGAGGACACCCTTCCCCATGGCTTTTCAGATGCAGCCCAATAGGCACAGGGAGGGAGGAGGAACTGCAGATTAGGCATGCAGGAGTAGGCGTGGTAGAGAACACCTGTGGGTGGTGAAGAGCCAGCACCCTCCATAGGCCTGCCAACCTGCTCAATGACATGGGAAATGGGCACCAACAGTGTGAGTGAAGATGACAGCAAGCGTGGCAGGAAGAGGATGTGGAACACAGAAGTACCAACCAAACGTGACCTGTACTGGCCTTCTCCCTACAGAGGGTGTGGCTTATGCTTGGGGGTGGAGGAGATGAAAAGTCATGAGCTAGGATTATCAGCTGGCCAGGGGCACAGGAAGGCTCTCTGAGGACTCCTAAGGGGTAGGCAGGTAGGCAGCTGGGACCCCACATTCCCAGGGAAGAAACAAGTCCTTTCAGTTCGACTTGGACCAAATCTTGGCGCTCCCTCGGAGTCTGGCAAGGGGAAGAGAGAGAGAGGGGATGCAAGGGATCCCCTAATTCCTGGAGGACACCCCCACTCCCAACCCCATGCAAATGACTAAAGCAAGTGGAGCAGCCAGGCTGAGGTCCCCAAGGTAAGAGTGAGGTACCCAGAAACAAGCGGCTCCCCGCACGGGCTCACCCCTTGCCCTTTGAGGCTTTCTTGCTGGGCTGGCGCTGGTTGGTGCCAGGAGCTGGTTCTCTCAGCTCTGTCAGGTGCTGCTCAGGATCCTGTGAAGTGGCCGCAGCTGCTGCTGCTGTTGTAACTTTAATGGTTTTTTTAAGGTTGGCAACCTATCAGGATGAAAGGAATGGGGATAGCAAAGCAGGTTCCAGAACCTGACAGGTCCTCATTATCCACATCAGCCCCTGTGCACAAGCCAGGAGTCCCTGCCTGCTTACCTCACTCTCGATCTGCTGCTTCAGGCCCAGCTGCTGCTCCTTGTGCTGGTTCGCACGGCTGACTTGCTCCTCAATGCCGGACAGCACAACCTCACAGCCCACGCACCTGTGGGAACCATGGCAGATGAAAGGTGTCAGCAGAAGAGGGCTGTGATCACAGACTCAATAAAGAAACTCAAGAGCAAGCTTCTGGGGGGACTCGAAACCCTGGCCTAAGCTGGGAGCCCTCACCAGGACACCTGGGGAGCAGCTCCAACAGATTCTCATCAGCAAAAACCCTGGAGTTGGATAAGAAAGTTGAGTGATACATACAATGTGGGTGGGACCGGGGGTGTTGGAGAAATGGCTCAGTGATAAAGAACATGTATTGTTCTTCCAGAGAACCTGCGTCGATTCCCAGCACCCACACCGGGTGACTCACAACCACCAATTCCAGGGGATCTGACACCTCTGCACACCCACCCCTCTACTGCACACACACACACACAGCTAAAAATGATAAACTAAAATTCAAACAACAACAAAAAGATGAGGGTAGTAACCACACACGAAACAGGAGTGCCAGCCACGGTGGTGTGCAACGGTGCATGCTTGTAATCTCAATACTGGGAAGAAGAGGCAGAGGATTTTGGGATACACAGTGAGATCATAATATATTTAGACAGGGATACAAAAAAGAAAAGGAGACAGAGACCCATAACCCATGGTGCTATGTGCCATTGTACTAAATTCAGCCTATGACAGCGATTAAGCCTCCCATTAAGAAACCTCAAGAGCACCACTCCCATTCCCTTCCTCAATTACTGCCCCAACAATCCTGCCTCTTAGCACCCAGCATCCCTGTCAAGCTTGTTCCCTCAGAAGCCTCTGGAGGAAAGTGCTGGTCTCTCTCTCTCCTCTTGGGCTAACCCCCTGCAGCCCAGCCCTGCGCTCTCCTTCTTGTATAAGGAAGCAGTCAAGGCCTGACAAGTTCTCACCACTCCTGCAGGGTTCTGGCAATGGCACTGAGGTCCTGGCGCTGGATGTCCCGCCCAATACTGTAGTCAACCTCTAGCCGCTGATTGCGCTGATCCAGGGAGCCACGAAGGACATCAGCATACACAGCCTCAATCACAAGGTCTTCCAGTTGGCGCACATTCCGAAGGGCAAGAGCCTCAAGCAACACTGCATATGGGATGCACTGGGGCCAGGAGCAGACAAGGGTTCAAAAGCAGAGAAGGTCTTTCCATAATCCTCTCCTCTTTTCCCCACTTTCCCCACAAGGCCGAGTCCCACTTGCCTTCATCTCCTATCCTTAAACCATTTCCTAGAAAAAGTTAGTTATAAAGCAAGACGTGGTACCACCCCAAGAACATCAGCAGAAAAGAATACCCTTTTCACTTTCTTTTCTTTTCTGGTATTTTTTTTTTTTTTTTTTGGTTTTTCAAGACAGGGTTTCTCTGTGGTTTTGGAGCCTGTCCTGGAACTAGCTCTTGTAGACCAGGCTGGTCTCGAACTCACAGAGATCCGCCTGCCTCTGCCTCCCGAGTGCTGGGATTAAAGGCGTGCGCCACCACCGCCCGGCCTTTTCTGGTATTTTGACGCAGGTTCTCATGCTACAGCCCAGGCTGGCTTGGAACTCACTATGTAGTCCAGGCTAGACTTGATCTCACACTAATCCTTCTGCCTCAGCCTCCTAAGTGCTCAGGTGACATGAGACACGACACCAGACTCAAAAAAGACCCTCTTAAAACACATGACAGATGCTCTCCTACTAGCCCTCACCTCCTACAGCACAGCCAGAGTATGACATCTTCCCGGTGCCAATTCTTTGGCAGTAGCTAAGGGTATTGTATTACATCAGAGGATCATAGGAGGGGTCTGGAGTTACTGTGCTTAGCACATAGACTTAGTCAAGGCATCCACAACTATGAGCCTGACTCCAGCAAAAATCACCAGGGCTCAATTCTAGTGAGCAAGTGGGAGAGATGACTAGGGAGACATGATGCACTGTGACAAAAGGCTGCGACCACAGGGATACTCTGAGATACGCACGTCTTAGTTTAGCAAACAGAAGCCTGGTGCTTGCTTCACGGAACAAGAACCCCATCTCCAGCTCTGAGCCCTAGAACTCTATATGGCGATAAACAACAGGACAGTGTCCTGGTGGCTAGTTTGACACCAAACACAAGAGATGATAACTTAGAACTCAGGGCCACACTGAGAGACTATCACCCCTAACTGACTGCAGTAATGGAGAATTGGTACTGACCGAGCCAGAGGGAGGTCAATGGCTCTCCCAGGAATAGACAATAGGATGGCAGGCTTCAGGACTGTCACTTACCTTGACTTTGGCAGCCAGAGTGACAACTGAGAGATGTCGAAGCTTATTCTTCTGAGCCTCGGTAAGTGGGGGAAGATTCCTGGCTTCAGCTAGGAAAGGAACAGAAGCCCAGAAGTCTTATTATTAGCAGTTTCCTCCAAGTTTTCTGCACCATCACGATCTTAGGCTGCCTGGCTCACTTATGGCATCTAAGTAGGGCACCCCAGGAGTTTCTTCCAGGTCTCTCCAGAAGCCACCCTTCTCCTGCCCCCACAGCATGATGGCTCCAGCCCCTAGTTACCTAAGTAGTCAGCATAGGTCCCATAGGCAAACACTGTCAGCAGCCGGAAGGTGGAGGCAAAGTCGCTCTCTGCCAACTGCAAGAACATAAGGGAAGTGACAGGAAGAACCTATTCTGAACTCAACTTGTTGACCCCGTCCTTCAAAAAAACCTATCCTGGTCCACCCAGAGGCTTTCTCTACGTCTCCAAACATACACCCTTGCTCTACGGTCTCACTCACTTCCACCTCTAGCCCTTTGACATGCTACACATTAAATTCTTACCCTAAATCAGGGTTGAAAACATTCAGTGTTCAGAGGATCACACGCAGACATCAGACATTATAAATTACTCTATTTTGGCCCCCAGAGGTCACAGATTTGTGGCCTGTTTCAGACCGTCCTCAGTGAGAGGGTCATACATTATCCACTAGTGTTTCATAACGCCCCTCACTCACTCTGGCACGCCATCCCTGCAGGCTCTCACTGAACAGTACCTTTTAACAAGGCTACAGCCCCAGCATCTGCTGGCCTACAAGGATGCAGCAGAACCGTGGCCCTCAAAGTAAAAGCTTGCTAAATAACCGACTTGCCCATCTTCATCCACTTATCTGATCTCTTTAACTGAATACAAGCTTGAAGGGCAAGCCTGGTAGCTTGCAGTTTGCAGAATACTAAACACTGTTAGGCAATTGGGAACCGTTTCCTCAACTTAGTTCACTGTAGATAAAATCAGGAACAAAAGATAGCCAGTTGTCTATGGAACAGCAACCAAAAACCATTACATCCTCCAGTTCAACCACAGGCCTTCTAAAACTCAGCTCGGTTTAGCCACACCCTGCTATCAGCCTCTCAGGACACAGGCTGGGGCCACAGCATAGGCAATCTGTTTGCTCGGTCATTTCTGTGAGTGGTTCTCTGCTGTGTTCAGAGTGATTTACTCATTATCTACCTTAAATGAATTAGTATATGGGACACTTGGGGAGGTAACATGATAGATAATATGCTTATTCTTTCTATTTTTAGGAGATTTTAGACTTTCCCACAATTTTACTTCTGTAACTGTGAGGAACACTGCTTCTTAGGCTTTTCTTCTCTCTCTCTCTCTCTCTGGCTTTTCTTCTCTCTCTCTCTCTCTGGCTTTTCTTTTTTTTTTTTTTTTTTTAACATTTTATTATTTATTTATTTATTTAACTTTATTATGTTCGTTGGTGTGAAGGTGTCAGATCTCGTGGAACTACATTTTCAGACAGTTGTGAGCTGCCATGTGGGTGCTGGGAATCGAACCCGGGTCCTCTGGAAGAGCAGTCAGTGCTCTTAACCGCTGAGCCATCTCTCCAGCCCTCTCTGGCTTTTCTTCTCTCTCTCTCTCTCTCTCTCCTCTCAAGAGACAGGGTTTCTCTGTGTAGCTTTAGCGCCTGTCCTGGAACTCACTCTGTAGATCAGGGCTGGCCTTGAACTTACAGAGATCCATCTGCCTCTGCCTCCCAAGTGCTGGGATTGAGGCATGCATCACCACCACCCGGCATAGTTTTTCCTTTTTGCAGTTCTGAGAATTCAACCCATAAAGAGCCTCGCATACTACAGACAAGGCTCTTTCACTGAGCTACATCCCTACTCCTTTTTGAAGTGGAGTCTAAGGTGCCCAGGCTGGCCTAAAGTTTGTGATGCCCTTGCCTTAGCACCCCAAGTTCTGAAACGGACCCTGAGGTCCCATGCACAGTAAGTAGGCAAGCATTCTATCAGTGGAGTTATGTTCCAGCTTCTTGTCACCATTTTTAAGAGAAAACTGAGCCTTTTAACATGGTTTCTCTGATCAAGATGACATGATTTTTGTTTTTGTTTTGTTTATTGAGACGGGGCTTCTTTGTGAAACAGCCCGGGCAGTCCTAAAACTCACTCTGTAGACCAGGCTGGCCTCGAACTCACCTTCCTCTGACTCCTGAGGGCTGGGATTAAAGGTGTGCACCACCACCACCGTGCTGGTGACATTATTAAAAGGTATCACACTGGTGGAAAAGCTGGAACTTACAAGTAGCATTCTGAATGACCTGCTCTTTTGCCTAAAACTTAAAAATCCAGCTGGATGGTGGTGGTGGTACATGACACTCAAGTTCGAGAAGTGTTCCACGTTTTTAAATACAAAAAATTTAAATTCTACACAAGGCACAGGCAGGAAGATTGTCACAAGTCCAACGTCAAGCCAGGCTGTGACTGATACTAGTCTAGGGCAGTCAAGCCTTCACAGTGAAACCCCACCACAAAAAGTGTGTGTACAGAGGGAGGGGCATTAAGTTTACAGATCTACAGTCTCCAAAGAGAAGCGCAAAACCTTTATTTGATTGATGGTTAATTATCAGAACCCTGTTCACCTGCGTGGTTACTGATTACAAAACAGGCCCACGCTTAGAAGAAACTTCGGGCCCAAGGTTCTCCATGGACTCCCCACACAAGCAACCCACCTCTCTAACATTGGGCATATCCAGCAGTTCCCCAAACACGTAGACACCAGGAGCCTCCAGCACCTGATGGATGAGTGTGGCCAGCGCTGCCCCCTTGGCCGACTTGGCCAGGAGCAGAAACTGCTCCTGGTTCTGCCCTGTCACCTTCACCTCCGCACTCATGGCTGCACCGAGGTGCGGGGCTCTGGCTTCAAGTTGTCTGGAGCTGCAAGGAAAGAGGAACGTGAAGCTAAAGGTCCCTGGGCGCTGTCAGGACCTGCTCAGCTCAAGGGCAGGGAACTGCATGCACTCCCGAGGCACAAAGCCACAAATGCACTGAGAAATCAGGTCAAGGGGTCTAAAACTCAGCTCTAGGGTTCCTTAAAATCCGCCACGCCCACCCTGTCCCCCAATCCGGGGCCTAATCCCAAGTCCCACCACGTGCACCCCATTGAGCCCCCAAACAGAAGAGGCGGTGAGGGAAGCGGAGGCACATGGTGTCCACCCCAACGACGACGCACCCCCAGCTCTGAACTCGTGTCCTGCACGTGCCCGCAACCACGTGACCTCACCTCCACGCTCCTCACTAGTGGCTCCACCCTCCCTTAAAGCGGCAGCCCCGGAACGGCGGGTCCGCGCCCAAGGCCGGGTCGTACCCTGGAGCAGACTGTGGCGGCTCCCTGAAAGCCTCGTCTTCCAGCGCAAGGGGCGGGGCGGCGGCTCCGTCACCTCCGGCAGCTGCTCCCAGCGTTTCCTCCGGCCTCCCGCAGGGTCGCTCTAGTCGCCCGCGTCTCTGGCCAGCTTCTATGGCCGTACTTCCGCTTTCGGGAGGCGGGTTCCCGGCGACTGTGGACTGCTTCCGCTTTCCGACGGCCAGGGACGTGCGCTCTTCCGCTCTGTAGATAAGATTTATGGGTGCCAGAGCGGTGCTCGCGGGACGCTGAGGAAACCTCAGTTCGGGGGAGATCCTGGGTCGCGGGCCGCCCGAGTGCGGCAGGAGGGGAGAGGGCGGCACGAAGTCTCTGCGGCGACTTGAGCTTCAGTGGCAGGCGAGAAGATGCAATATATACGGAGAGAGAAGGAAAATGTGACGAAATTAGCGGTAGTCATAGTTTGGGTAGTTCAATCATTCGGGTTTTTTTTTTCAAAAAATATTTATTTACTTACTATGCATACAATATTCTGTCTGTGTGCAAGCCTGAAGAGGGCACCAGACCTCATTACAGATGGTTGTGAGCCACCGTGTGGTTGCTGGGAATTGAACTCAGGACCTTTGGAAGAGCAGGCAATGCTCTTAACCGCTGAGCCATCTCTCCAGCCCCAACCGCACGTGTTTTTTTTTTTTTTTTTTTTTTTTTTTTTTTTTTTTTTTTTATTTTTCGAGACAGGGTTTCTCCGTAGCTAAGGTAAAGGAGCCGGAGCCGGGTGATGGTGGCGCACGCCTTTAATCCCAGTACTCGGGAGGCAGAGGCAGGTGGATCTCTGTGAGTTCGAGACCAGCCTGGTCTACAGAGCTAGTTCCAGGACAGGCTCCAAAGCCACAGAGAAACCCTGTCTCGAAAAACCAAAAAAAATAAAAAAAAAAATTAAAAAAAGGTAAAGGAGCCGGGATTGGTGGCACATGCCTCCTCTCCTTGCATTAGTGAGGTAAAGAGGCAGGGGGATCGGGAGTTCAAAACCAGCCTCAGCTACATAGCAAGTTCCTGGGCTATGTGAGAACCTGTCTCAAAAGGAAGCAACAAAACCCCAAATAGTAAGGGAGTGAGGTGTATTGGTCAGGTTTTCTTTCGTTAAATTTTCTGAGCTGTACTGCGTGACCAGACTTTTGGTTATGGTTACCACATGTAATCATTAAGTTATATTTTGAGCGTTTGAATTTCGATACACAGTTTCTCTGTAGCTTTGGAACCTGTCCTGGAACAAGCTCTTGTATACCAGGCTGGCCTCGAACTCTCAGAGATCCGCCTGCCTCTGCCTCCCGAATGCTGGGATTAAAGGCGCGCCCCACCACTGCCTGGCTTTCAAGTTGTTTTTGAACAGGTGGGTTAAGGCGAATCAAGAATCAGATTACTTCTCATTTCTCCTTCCTGTTGCCTACTGTCCTAATCCTTTTCTCTCCCTCTCCCCAACACTCTCAGATCAATATATAACCCACACTGGCCTGGAACTCACTCTGTAGCCCAGACTGCCTTTGAACCTAAGATACTGTCTTAGCCTCCCAAGTGCTAGATTACAAACATGGATCCTATGTTCCTTTGTCTCACAGGTTACTTAGAAAGCCTGTATCTCTAGGTCTCTGACACTCTCTCAAGGTACAAGGTCATTCTATGAACTTTCTATTCTTGTGCCTTGCCTCCCGAGTGATGGGATTACAGATGTGTACCAGTACATCTGGCTTTGCCTTCTAGGATTTCTGTAAGGATTTTGCTTGTCTGTTTTGAGACACACTCTCACTATGTAGTAGTTCTGGCTATCCTGAAATTTCCTATGTAAATTTCCTATGTAGATGCTGGCCTGTAACTCAGGAATCCACCTGCCTTGCGTCCCGAGTGCTGGGATTAAAGGCGTGCACCACCACCCGAGATTAAGAATTTTTTTAAACAGGTTCTCTCACACTGTAGCTCAAGGTGGCCTCGGAATCAAAACAACTTGAGGAGGAAAGAATTTATTTGGCTTAGTGTCCAGATGAGCAGACACCGTGAGGATGCTGCTTTCAGGGCTCACATTCAACACCTTTCTTGCACCCTTCCTGGACTACTTGCCCAGTGCTGGTATCACCCACAGTGGGCTAGGCCCTACCACATAAATCATTAATCAAGAAAGTAATCCCAAGGCTAGAGAGCTGATTCAGAATTTAAAAACACTTGTTCTTGGAGAAGACCTGGGTTTGATTACTAGCACCTACAGGCACCTGTAACTCTAGTTTCAGGTAATTGAATGGGCCACGAGGCACCAGACATACATGTGGTGTACATATATACACTTATGAGAAGCAAAAATGTAGTGTTTGGTTGGTTGGTTTTTTTTTTTTTTCCTTTTTTGTTTTTTGAGACAGGGTTTCTCTGTGTAACAGCCCTTGCTGTCCTGGAACTTGCTCTGCAGACCAGGCTGGCCTTGAGTTTACACTGATCTGCCTGCCTCTGTTTACCAAGTGCTGGGATTAAAGGGAAGTAAGTAGGTTTTGTTTGTTTTTGTTTTTTGTTTTGTTTTGTTTTTTGAGACAGGGTTTCTCTGTACCTTTGGTGCCCGTCCTGGAACTAGCTCTTGTAGACCAGGCTGACCTCGAACTCCCAGAGATCCGCCTGCCTCTGCCTCCCGAGTGCTGGGATCAAAGGCCTATGCCACCACCACCCGTTGTTTTTGTTTTTTTGTTTTTTATTTTTAGAGGCAGGGTTTCTCTAGCTTTTTTTAGAGGTTGTCCTGGAACTAGCTCTTGTAGACCAGGCTGGCCTCGAACTCCCAGAGATCCGCCTGCCTCTGCCTCTCGAGTGCTGGGATTAAAGGCATGTGCCGCCGCCACCACCACCACCCAGCAAGTAAGTAGTTTTTTAAAGAAAAGAACCCCACAGATTTATCTCCAGATAATATTATGGGGTCATTTTTATTTTTATTTATTTTTTTTTTTTTGAGGGTCTCACTTTGTAGCTCTGACTGTCCTGGAACTCATTATGTAGAGTGGGCTATCCTCTAACTCACAGAAATCCACCAGCTTTAGCCTCCGTAGTGCTGAGATTAAAGTTGTGTAACTACACATGGGTATTACAAAAATTTTAAACTACTGTTGTGATATCTATACAGACAGAAACAGATCAACTACAGTGTTTGGGTGAACGATGACAATGATGTGGACCAAGCAGAAGCAGTAGAAATGAATAGCCAGACTCTGAATTTAAAAGTGGAGGGAACATTATTTGCAAGTGGATTAGATGCAAGGTGTAAAAGAAAAAGAGTTTTAAGAATCATATCATGGGTGTTGGAGATAAGGCTCAGTGGTTAAGAGCACTCTCTGTTCTTGCAGAGTTCCTGGGTTCTGTCCCAGCACCAATATGACAGCGGAGCTGTCTAACTCCAGTTCCAGAGGGTTTTGATGCCCCCTTGCTGTAGGACAATGGTCTGTACCCTGTCACTTGTATTTTAAATAAATGGTAATTGGCCAGTAGCCAATCAGGAAGTATAGGTGGGGCAACAAGAATTTGGGGAAGAGGGAAGTTTCAGTCTGCAGTCGTCACCCAGACACAGAGCAAACAAGAAGTGACTGCTTCCCCGAAAAAGGTACCAAACCACGTGGCAAACACAGACAAGAATTATGGGTTAATATAAGTTCTAAGAGTTGATAAGAAGCCTGAGCTAATAGGCCAATCAGTTTATGATTAATGTAGACCTCTGTGTGTTTCTTTGGGACTTGATGACTGCAGGAACCAGGCAGGACAGAAAACTCAGTCAACACTCCCTCCTCTGGGGCTGGAGAGATGGCTCAGAGGTTAAGAGCACTGGATGCTCTCTCCAGAGGTCCTGAGTTCAATTCCCAGCAACCATATAATGGCTCACAACCATCTGAGATCTGGCGCCCTGTTCTTACCTGCGGGCATACATCGAGGCAGAATGTTGTATAAATAAATAAATCTTTTAAAAAAAAACAATACTCCCTCCTCTGGCCTCCACAGGCACCACGTGCACATGGTGTACATACACGCACTTGATGTACATACACACACGCACATGGTATACATACACACATGCAGGCAAAATACTAATACATGTGCAGTTTTTTATTCTTCAGGACAAGGTTTTTCTGTGTAGCCTTAGCTGTCCTGGAACTTGCTCTGTAGACCAGGCTGACCTGGTCTCATAAATTTTTTTTTTTTTTTTTGGATTTTGAGACAGGATTTCTCCGTAGCTTTTTGGTTCCTGTCCTGGAACTAGCTCTTGTAGACCAGGCTGGCCTTGAACCCACAGAGATCCACCTGCCTCTGCCACCCGTGTGCTGGGATTAAAGGCGTGAGCCACCATCTCCCGGCTTCATAAAATTTTTTTAAAGATTTATTACCTATACAGTGTTCTACCTGCACACGAGAAGAGGGCACCAGATCTCATTACAGATGGTTGTGAGTAAGCATGTTGTTGCTGGAAATGGAACTCAGGTCCTCTGGAAGAGCAGCCACTGCTCTTAACCTCTGAGCCATCTCCCCAGTCCTTATACAATTTTTTTTTAGTGTGTGTGTGTGTGTGTGTGTGTGTGTGTATAACAGTATAACAGCCTGGCTGTCCAGGAACTCATTTGGTAGATCAGGCTGGCTTAAATCTTATAGATCAACTTGCCTGTGCCTCCAAGTTCTGGTTTTTAAAGCATTTACTACCACACCAACCTAAAACCTTAAAAAGAAAATGACATTACAGTCAGAATTACACCTATAAATCCAAGAGTTGGGAGACTGTTGCGGGAGGTCCTCCAACTCCTACAGCCTATAGCTGCTGAGATACCAGCCCATTGGGGCGTGGTCTCTCTCCCTTTAAAAAAGTGGCTACTTCCCTCTCCTCTCTCTCTTCACTTCCTGCTCCACTGGTGACTAGACTCCCTTCCTGGTTGTGTAGAGGGCTGTTGCCTGGGACAGTGATCTGTAAGTTTTTTCCCCTTTAAATAAATACCACCCTATTAATCATAATTCCAAGCTGGTGTGGCATTGTTTGTGACTTACGCCTTCATTTTGGCGCCCAACGTTTGGTTTTAGAACCTCTCCTTTCCCCGCTCGGCTGCCGGCCTTGAGTTCGGCTTGGCGGGAGCCCTCCCTCAGCTGCCACCTGTGCCTTGCATTGGCGGCCTTGGCCTCCCCATGTGGATTAAATCCAC